TATGATTTTCATTTCTGCTTATCTTCATATTTATTTTTATATCTAGACAAGTCTAAGTTCTTAACATTTTTATAAGAAATCAGACAGTACTGAAAAGTAAAGTATTGCGTTTTTTTTTTTTTTTCAATGAAGCAGAAATAAATTAAAGCTAGCAAATGATTTCTGTGTTGTGAAATATATTGATATATGATAATCTATCCAATTGATGTTTCTTTTCTTGGTAATGCTTTTTTGTGATGTTGTAATTGTTTTTTCCCAAGTGTTTCCGTTAAAGTAACAAGGTTTTTGTTAGAGTTGGTTTCTTGAAGCATGAAACTACAGCCGATATGTTGATAGGTCATCATAGTTAAGTGGTCTGATTTCTTGTCAAAATGGTGCCAAGCATAGAGATCTAATGGCCTTCCCTTCTTTCAGTATCCTCACCAACAAGCCAAAAAAAAAAAAAAAAAAAACTTGAGAAAAGGAGTAATTATTTTCTCTGTTCCAATGCCTATACTCCCTAACAGTTTTGTTCATTAATTGAAAATTGGTGCCTGGGAATGCCCTTTAGATTTAAAGAGGGAAATATTATCCTAGGGGAAAAAATCATTAACAATGAAGAAAAGGGATAAGAAAACTGATGTTCTGTTTTTATCATATTCCCCATCTTAACAGTGTATAAATAAATTGAATCTTTCCTTAAGGTAAACAGACCTAGAATATTATTTGTTTTGACATCTCAGAGCATGTTAAACCAGGGTTTTGTATATGTGAAAATGTGATCAAATATGATATACATTCATACAATGTTGTATTTTGCCAATATTTCATTTGATTATTTATATACAAGAGGAAATCCTTGCTCTTTCTGATCTTTGAACACTAACAGTTTGCTGTCTTGGGTAGTATTGTGTACATTTGCAGTTTTTGGAGTATTGTGCATCTGAGATAGAATCGGGGAAAAAGAAACATTAATTAAGCGATTAATTGTTCAAGTTTGGGAAATACATATGTGTGTAATTTGTCATTACATGTAGTTGTTGTTTCAAAACATTTCTTACTCCAAAGTTTTATTTTTTCTTAAAAACTGATTTTAATAGGTCTGTGGCATTTGCTATAATGAGAATATGCAATTTGTAGATCTTTGTTCTAAATTGCTGTGTTGTGCTCACTCAAAAATGAGTGAGTAGGAGGTCCCTGCTTGGGAATTTGATCTTTAAAACGTAATCAAACTACTGTCTTTTTCACTTGGATTATTTCAAAAGTTTTTTTCCTGCATTCTGGACATCATAAAACCATCCTCAAAATTTGAGAAAATTTATGTATCCATAAAAAATGGTATTTTGCAAATGTGAAAACTTTATTGCTCTCAAGTGTTTGTCATTAAAAGAAATGCAAAATACCTACCAACATCATCTTCCCTTTCCTTCTCTATTCAAGTGGCTATATACAAGAAGTAAGTTCCTCTAGTAGTTGTGAATGAGCTAGCTTATGTGTCAATAAGGTCAAGGAATGAAGACCTCATAAGTTGAATGGATGAAACACTCACCTTAGAGAAAGCCAAACTGATTACTCTGTGTCTGAAGCAGATTAACATGCTTAAGGTAGATTAACATGCCTACAGCATGTGTTTTCCTGCAACAGAAGAGCTATTCATTTCCCAAACAATTACTTTAATCACAGTTTAATGAGCCCTAATGTGTCTGGGAATCTCACTATGGGAAAGATGCTTTCATCAGAAACATGGCAAGGATTACTGGCAAGGATTAGCAGTGATTAACAGACTGTGGATTATCTGTTGATGTATGCTGGGGTAAATTGGCTGCATTGTTTATTGTCATTGCTTTGTGATATGTGAGTTACCCTGCCCAACATTGCACACTAAGGTCACATCCAGATGATGATATAATAGGCCAAAAGTTCATTGACTCTAAAATTTGTATCCAGCTTTTGGGTCAGCATTTGTGAACATGTTTCATTGAAAAAAAAAGATTTGTGGGTAATGCAATAAAATATAAACAACACATGTATCCCAATGCAACTTTTGAGATTTTATTTGCTACTTGGTAATTGGCCTCTTGACTGATTTTGCTTTAAATTTGGATCCTTCTTAAGTTTATTATTTTGATATCTTGCTTAAGTGGAAGATATAAAGGAAGATCTCTTTTTAAGAGGTTTATTTTGCATCCAGCTACTATTTTACATCAGGTCAATTAACTAATAATTTACTTGGTACAATATTATTTGATAAGAAAATGACCTTTGGAAATCTAGACAACACTTCTCTGTATAGGGTGCCAATTAAGCGGGTGAGAAATTCTGAAAGAATAAACACCTCTTGGAAATCAAGCATTAATAAATAATGTGGGAAGCATTTTGTAGCAATTGGGCATTGCATGAGAAAATAAAGAAGTTCAACCACTGCTCTTGAATTAGGAGATGATATCTTGAAATAATTACATTTGTGTGTTTCAGCAAGTGACCTTGAATAATTGCAAGATCAAACCCAGACTGATACAGTAGAATCTGGTTTTATTATTGAAAGAAGTTTCATTTTGCCATATGGCAGGATTTTCTTTAATTGTGAACTGTTCCAAGGTTTTTGTGACATTAAAAGTTTCTAAATAAAAACCATTGATAAATCAAATACCTTGATGACATTTAAAATGTTAAGCATTTTGCCTAATTGCTTATTTCTGCAATAAAAGACTAAATAAACAAGACTCAAAATCAGGCTTTCTGATTATGTAACTCCCAGATCTTGGTTGATAATGGAAAAGATACTGCAGAAGTTGTCTGTCTAGACTGTAAAATATGCCTGGGATGCCCTGCAGAGAATGTGAAGACCACAAAAATGTTGACAAGTAAAGGGAGTTTGAAAAATTCAACTATCAAGGTGGGCTAACAGGTGGTTCAGTTGATTTTGCAGTATAGCATGGCCTTAATGTTATGGTTATAAAGCCTTTTTTTTTTAAATTAATTTATTGTTCTTCAATATGTGGATACAGAGGTTAAACAAATTTTATATTTTAACCCCCCAAAATACAAGATAACTTGTTGATTGGCCATCCATATGCTAACAATAGCAAGTTTTTTTCACATAATTAACTATATTTTAGTCTGACTTTGCCAGGCATGCATGGTTGTAACTGAAAGAAATGGTAAATTGCAATTTTATGTAGACTTTATACCTCTGATCAGCTATGAAAAAGACTGCATTGTTCTACATATTTTTTTTTCCTTCTATTCAAAAAAATGTGTGGAATTATGAGAAATTGCACATTAAGCATAATTTTTGAGAAACCTGACAAAAAGCATGATCCAACATGTTGCTCCATGCCATCCCAGACCATTTATCATAGAAGGAAAGCAAATGAAATATCCCATCAATAATATCTTTGCACTTGATCACTGGGCTTTAATCATACATACAGGGATTCTTTGTATGAGTATCTATATACTGACACAGGAGGATGATTCACTGGGAGGGAAGGTATCGGGGTTTGGACCGAAACATAAGAATTCTTATATGTACATGTTTAGTGGTAGAGTGAAAGGTAATAAAGGTTGAAGTGTGTTATGTTACCCCATCGTCTTCAGTGTAACTTAGTCCTTATAGGATTAGAACGGTTTTGCATTACATGAATTATGTTGCTTTCTATGATTCATATTCTTCAAAATTGAATCATTGAAATGACAGAAGATCAATTTGGGTAAAATGAGTACTCTCTAGATGTCCTTGATATGTTAAAGTGAACTTACTCACATTGGTATACATTTGTTTGCATGATTCATATTCTTAAAAACAATCAATAAGAATCTAGCTAACAGGTTTGGCATCTGCTGCTGCAAGTATAGAAGAAACACCAGTGGTCATTATGGCCAGAATGCTTTGATGTTTGAAAAGAAGACAGCTTTTGTCACTAGACTTCCCATCAAAGCTGATATTCTGTTCAATTTCTGCTAAAAATCCCCCATCAAGTAAATTAATGCAGTCAAACTGGTCAGCTTTAGTTTAAAATCATATCCTGGCCTCTTCACCTGACCTAGTTTTCCTTGCTTTAAATGCATATTCCACATCTATTCTGACTGTCTGAACACTTTGCTTTACCATTTTCTGAAGTTTCCATTTCAAAAGTACTGGATTGGTAGAGATATAATAGAGACCAATAAAAAAATTAAAAGCCTTAGATTCAAAGAATCAGTTAGACAGAATTTTATTGCAAACATGTATAAATTTGCAAGCCAAAAGATCTAAAACAGATGAAATTGATGTAAAATCACATTGTTTCATTAGTTAAAACATTTGATCAATCTTGACTTGACTCTAAGTGATCTTTAGTGATCATCTTACCCTGTTCAATTTAAGTTATTTGTAATCTGGAAAATACAAAATCATATTATCAGGTACTTTATCTAGGGCTGCAGCATTACAGTCTGAAATGTGAAGATAACGAATACTAGTAGTGATCATTCTCAAAAGTCCTTTTAAACAATACAAATTATGGAGCAGAGCCAACAGAGGTTGGATCAGATGGCATGGAGGAGTAAGCAATCCCTGTCAACTGATCACACCTGCCGCATGCTCCTTGGGAAAATGGAAAAAATCTGTAGACAATTGAGTGTGAAAATAATGACCTAACAACTTATATGAAAAACAATAATCAACTTAGACAGATTGTATTTGCAAAGAAAGTCTTTGTAATAACCATAGAATTTCCGAAATGTTGAATTTAATGAGATTGTTGATATCCCTGTATCATCAACTTATTTGTCAATAGCCTGTCTCCATTTTAGAAATTGTTCGTACATAAAACATGCTTTTGTTTCGAGGACCATCCTCAGTGTTTTACATAGCCATTAGGCTATTGAAGTTATACATTTGAGGAATATTGAAAACTATAGCATAGTTTTAATGTAATTCATCTACCTTTCAGGCTTAACACAAATATTTAGAAAGATATTGTCACATTATAATATAAACAATACATGTAATAGAATGGTGTCTGTGTATTTTTCAGATTGTGTGGATTCCACTAGAGATGTTCTGGACCTTATTTCGAACCTTCAGAGTCGCACTGGATTTACAAACATCACGGGGCAAAATAATCTCACATCAGCCATTTATTTGCAAGGTAAGGTTAAAAAAATCATGGGACATACAATATATAGGTAGATGTTGAGCAATGAATCTGCATGGAGTGGAAAGCAAAGCATCAATCTTTGAAAGTGTTTGAAGATCGGTAGGGTAGAGGTTTAAGAAACAAATGGCTTGAATGGGGGTTATAAACACATTCTTTGTTGTTTAACTTCACTTCAAGGGATATCTTTTTCATTTTCTCCATTAGGATTCAGTTTAATTGTTTGACATTACCCACAATACAGTGGAATTATAATATTGTTGAATTCTTAAGATTTTGTATTAAGCACAGGAGATGCAATTTCAGAAACCTAATTGTTAATTATACATAAAGGTGATTATGAAAATGCTGAGCAGAGGTAGTATTAGAGAATCTATATGAAGAAAAGATGAAATTTTGTGCCTTGGTCAGGCACCAGAATGCACATAAATACTCATTTTGTAATGTTTGTTTAAAAGTGGAGTTTGGAGTTTATTTTAAACTTGTAGAATAAACTAAAATAACTTGATATATCTCACATTTTTTGAAATTCATTCTATTTTGAACACAATTTTTCAGTCACTCAAAAGTCTTGATTACATGAATTCTTGAGTACAGATTTTTGCAGATATCTCTAAAGATAGTCATCAAATCATATATTTTTTAGGGTTAAAAGATTTTATATACAATTAAAGAACTACTGAACAATCTCAGCCATCTTGAAAAATTAATGCCTATTTATGTGTATTGCTTTAAACCTATTACAAAACTTGTAGGTTGATTTTGTGAACAACATGAACTACCAATTTTATTCCAATATTTTTAAGTAATATGCAGTGTTAAAGTCAGTTGCCCTGTCAACTTCAGTTAAAATTTGCTTGTGAAAGGGTAAAGAATGATTTAAAAACATAATATGATGAGTATTTCACTCTGAAGTGTTATGCTAGGGAATAAGCACATTTCTGACTCTTGCCTCACATCTGTATTTTCACTGGAATGTTCTTGAATGCATGGAGTAAGTTTTTCACCCACACTCCTCTGTTACATGTAGAATTGGACAAATTTAAAAAAAAAAAGATCAGCTATTTGCTCAATTTTAAGTGCTTCATCTAATTTCAGCAATTTTTTATTTTTATTTATTTATTTATTTATTTATTTTGGCACAATCAAATACTGACATGTTTTACAAGCATCTGTAAGACTGAATGAATCATAGAATTTGAAATAAAAAAAGTTGTGCTTTAAATTGACATTGAAATTTGTTTCCCATACATTATACAAACTGTGTCTTTAAACTCTTTTGATCAAGATATACAAAACTGAAGGACAGTGATTTAGACCTAATGAGTTGAGAGTGATGAAGACTTCCTTGCCTTGAATATTCTATAATTTCTGCTTCATTAGATGGGGTCAGTTTTAGGTGCAGTACTGGGACCCACTTCCTGCAAGTTCATGTGAGTTCACCACAGCTTGTCTGGTATTGCTTTACATGCTCAGCTCAGCAGGAAGCTTCCCTTAGAGTGTGTCCCTAAGGAGCGAGGTATTTAACAAGGATCTATGATATCTGCAAACAGCTGAAAATATGCTCATAGCAGCTGAAAGACTTTTTTGTTCAGGGGAGTTATGAATGAAGAAAATACTTTGCCTCAATTTTCTCCATCCACAATTTATCCTAAATCTGTTGACACAAATAGAAAGAACCTGATGTCTTGCCTGCTGCCATAGTAATGTAAAAGTGTGCAGATATACACATGTAGCTTTGGGATATGCTATCTTAGAAAACAATAGATTGGGAACTTGACTTCACTTGTAGTCTTACCCTAACACCCTTTTTCTTCTGAAGGCATCATTGGATTAATAGATTTGGATTAAATGAGAATTTACCAAATCTTAAAAAACTTATTTATGATAAATGATTATAAATATGAAAATAATATTTTTATTTTGTCTGAATTTAATTGAGAGGATGAATTAATTTGATTTTCGGAGTGAAGGTAAATGATAATATCTAAATTGATCCGAAAAGATGATATTAATATATTCAGTTACCTATGTTTCTGAACTCAAAATTGCATATGCTAAAGCATCTCAGGAAAGGAATCATGGAAGCAGATATTTTCAATTGAAGTCATTATCTAGTTTATGAATGAATGTCCAAGGCAATTAAACTCTGCGCCTGCCTCTGAGCAGGTCCCGCTGTTAGCTTATTATCAGCTTGTATCCCATTTCTTTCATTCATTCATACTTTAAAGATTAGCAGAGAATTTTTAACCCAGAACTTTTTTGTGTGTGCTGAGGCTAGAATTTCAGGCAGTACGAGCAACTTGCTGATTATGCAGATGGCAAGAAATTCATTCATAAATTGAGAACACACTCAGCCTTTTTCAGTTACCATTAGTTTGCATGTTTTGCCAATGTTTTTCTTCAATTAGACAACATGGTGATTATTGTTGCAACATTGATGATTCTGGCAAAGCTATTGTTTGATCCTTCATTAACATGGAGGAGGGATGACCTGAACCCTCAAAGCAGACAAGTTGTTATATTAAAGAAAGCCAAATGCATGAACAGATTTTATAAGGATGTTGAAACAAGTTTTGTGAAACATGTACTATGTAAGTTTAAATTTATCATGGGTCCAAAGTATTCTCTCTAGAGAAGTGGACAGGCTTTTGCCTGTCCACTTCTCTAAAGTAGGCGAAAGCCTGTCCACTTCTCTAAAGAGAATAGGGTCCAAAAAGGGAACACAAAAATGGAAGAGTGGGCAGCATTGAGTTAATGTGACTTGAAATTAATTATGACTGAAGTCTCAAATGACAATTGAAGTAATCCAGAGAAACTGTCATACCAAATAAATTTGGCTGTGAAAACGCTCCCTCCAAGAGAATTGAGGCAAATTTGAGGAGCATATAGGAAAATTGTAAACAGAATACCTTGCAATTATCACCCATAATCTACAATTTCTAAACATCTTTCATTGCGTGGACACAGTGTCGTCAGATAGGTTATTTCTTGTACTTGAGTTGATAAGATCTTAATGATGATAATTGCTGGTAACATATTGTTGTCTGGGATGGTTCCCTTTGGGATTGGTCGGACAGGGTTATGTATGCCAGACACTACATTTCACCTCCTACTGGTGACTGATACGTGTCCATTCAATAATAAAACAAGCAACATGCTTCCAACATGCATTTTCTGATAGTGCCATGAAAAACAATCCCGGACGAGACAGATTTTTGCTATGTCTCAAGGACATAGCAAGCATTGTTGGAGAAAGTCCCCAATTGTAGAGGAATGCACCTCACACATGCAGCTTCTTTGCTGATACCTTTAACTGTGATGCTGTCTGACAGATGCTCTGATAGAACATTGATGTAGGTGGCAATTCTGCACCTGCACACAACAACATGCTGTATAGATGTCCAGATATTGCTCCCAGAAATATCCCTAGATCTGCAAAAAGTGATATGACCTGCTCACTAACTGGGTTAGGAAAAATTGCTACAGTGACTTGTCTTCTGTCGATGACATGAGCTATGGCGAAATGCTTGAATGTTTTATCTGAGGAAATACATCATTGAAATTACACAATATGTAAACATTGTTCTATCTTCATGTTGATTGAAAGAAAAAAATGTCAGAAATCAGCAAAATGTCTATGTAATTCTTGTGGTATGTGTGTACCAGTGAGAGTTGTAAGTTAACAAAAAGACAAAATTAAAATCAGCAAATATCCTGTTGATTTTCTTATTGATTGGGTTTAAAGCAGACATTTTGAAAGGGCAAAATGACATCAAAAAATTACATATATCGAAATTTAAAACCAAAATAAAAAAAAAAAAATAATTTAATGAACAAATCTTATTCATATTCTTTAACTTTTAAATATAAGTAAAAATTAATGAGATTTACTATTTTGTGTATAATGTTAACATTTTTATTTTCCAAAAATAATTTTACACCTTTTGTATTGTTGTTCCATACTTATAGTGTTTACATATAAAGTGTTTTACATTTATAATTAAATCTCTATCTCATGATAAACTTTCATGAATGGCTTTATTGATGTTCATAATAACAAGATGTGAGAATTCTCCTCTAAGTAAACTTGTTCTAAAGATGTACATTGGATTCCAGAACTCTCTAGGAAGGGCTAGTTTCCTTGGTTATGCATTTTTGTGGTTTTTGCCTTAATTAGAGCATTTGGTTGATGCCCAAAAGGTATTGCCAGCAGAAAAGAAAGAACTGCAGTATTAAACACCCTGCAGGTGTCTATAACTGCAGAGGTATAGAAAGAGGCCTTGTTGTTTCCTAATATTCATAAATTATCTGCTCATTATCTTCAGTGATTCTGACATTACCTTTGATATTTCTGTCCAGGTCTACTTGTATCAAATTTGTTTTTGCAACCTTGAGTTCTTGTCTCTGTACTGTTGTAGGTGGTTTCAGTCAGGTTAGTTGTACTTAGTGTCCAAAGCAGTCTTCAGATAATCTGATAATTGAGAGAAAGTATTGGAGAGATTTTAAAGAGAGAGTGAGATAAAGAAAAAATGAAAGAGAGTTCAACAGATGGAAGACAGAGAGGTTAAAATAATCATTCATGTTTCATATATATCTTTCATAGGTGTACTTTCTATATGGAGGAAGACAATTTAATTTTGACACAAAAAAAAAAATTATGCACTACAGCAAACTTCTGAAGTGGAACAAATAAAAAAAAAAATTATATTTAGAAAAGGGTATAGGGTTAGTTGAATTGGTAGACGAGTTCTTTTGCCATGGCTCTGTGATTTTTGCCCCATTGACGTAACATTTGATAACACGTACTCTTTATTTTTTCGGCATTTATCATAGGGACCTCCGCAGGTTAAGCAGTTCCATCTCTGTTTCTTGTCAGATCAAAGCCAGAATGAACCATCAACCCTACCATAACCTTTGTTCCTGGTATTCTGTTATGTCCCATCATATATATCACTTGGAAGGTCTCTCAGCTGCAAGACGAAATAAGAAGTATTGTAGCAAACACAGTTTATATTATAGCTGGCTCTTAATTGTCAAAATGGTGTCCTACTTGATGGACCACTAGTGTAGGAGGTTTATCAGAAAATATTTACGTATTTTGCGTACATATATGATTTTCCATGATAAAGTTATTTCCCCTGAACTGAAGCAGTTTGTTCTTTTTTATATAAATTTAATATTTTTTAATTTAAATTTAAATGACAGTTCAAATATAAATGTTATCCTGAATGTTAAAGTTCTGGTAATGAACTTTAAGCTTTATCAAAGTCATGTGAACTTTAATATACAAGTAGGCACCAAATTTTCATTCAAATCCAATGAATCCAAGATATTTTTTCTTTGATAATCAAATTTCCTTGAGAGATATTCTATTATTTTTGTCTTATCACAATTGATATCAAATTTTATTTTGTGTAAAATTAATGTTGGGGCATGATGAAGTATGTGGAGAAGAGATAAGATGTTCAAGGAGCAGATCCCCCATTCCCTGCTCCTGTGAGCAGTCAGTGTTGTATTGAAAAGGGGCCAAGAATAGTGCTCAAGATAACAGCCCATTATTATCTACATATTGGCTGATTAAGCAAGTTTAGAGGGAAGAGGGTGCAGGAAACTGTAAGAATGATTCTCCTACCTACACTGCATAAAATATGAGAAAAGGGAGGGCAGGGGGATTAAATTTTAGTATAAGTCAGTATGAGGTTTTAAAAATTACAGGAGCAACTTTTTAAAAAGAACTGATTTTGTAAGGAAGAATGTGCATGATTTTCAGTGGTTTGGCAATTGATGATTTAGCAATAAGGAAAAAGAAAAAAAAACAATTATTACAGATTCATTTACATTGGAAATGGAGCAGAAATAAGCCCATGAGTTCAGGAAAACTAGTAGTCCAGTATTTGAAGGTGACACATGTACATTAGTAAACTGCACACTGTAGAAGGATGCAGTCTCTAGGACAAAGGGGCTAAATCAAAAAGAATGCATTTTAAATGAAAGCTAAAATGCAAATAGACATTTAAATAGTTGAAGCAGAAGCAGTGATATGACTTGTAGAATTCTAGATATATGCTAGTATATAAATACTGCATGTAGTTGAGTGTAACATTGAAAATTTTCACCCCAAGAAAACCATTGTCAACCGAGGTGCAGCCGAGGTTGACAATGGTTTTCGAGGGGTGAAAATTTTCAATGTTACACTCAACTACATGCAGTATTTATTATATTATACTGAATGTTTTATACAAATACATATTACAGTGAACCTTGCGCGCATGAATTCTGCGCAGTCAATATTTTTTGGAATAACACCCGTCGTCAAGCAATGTTAACTGTTGCTACGCTGGTGGGCGTGGCTTCATTATTCAGCGGGTACATGTGTAATAGTGTTTTTTAACAAATGTTTCTCGACAAATCAGATTCAACTAATTTACATGAAAGTATAATATTGTTGAATGCATGTACTGGTTATGAAATTAATGTACTGGTTATGAAATTAATTGCTACAACATTAGTTATACTCAGAGTGTTCACCTGATAAAATAAATATTATATCATTTTAATGCATAATTCTTCTCTATTTTCAGATTCCAGTAGGAATGTAGCAGTTTCAGATAACTTGTTGAGGAAAGCTTTAAGGATTTTTAAAGACAATAGTGAATTAACTTTTTTAGCAACCATGAAGCAGGAAATAGGAAACTCTGGTAGCATTTTAGCTTTTTCTTCAGATATTTACAGGTATGTGTAAATTCAAACTTGTAAGTCCAAAAAAATTTTAAATGTAAAAAAATATTATTGTGGGGAAAAATTCATACAGTCAAACCTCTTATCTTGAACTTGATCAGGCCAAGGAAAAAACATTGAGATATATCCAGGGATTAAGGATATTGAGATTAAAACAAAAAGAAAAAGGGTTGGGACTTCCAATTCACCTCGACATATCCATGGTGGTTGAGATATTGATGTTCAAGATACCAAAGTTCAACTGTATGCTGTTTGCTTTGAAATACTTTTTAAAGTCGCCCAAGATGTACAGAGTCAAAAATGGATTATACATGTATTAGAGATAATTATTAATTAAATCATTTATTGTTATCATTGATTTGACTGTAAAGTTAAACATGCACTTCATTAACATAATTTTTTTTTTAAAAAAAGCAATTAACAGATTTTTTTTCTTCAAAATTTGTTCAGGCATTGCCCCATAGCAGTTCAATCTCCTTCAAGTTGGTCTTTTAATTATAATCTTTCTAATATTACTTTGAAGGAGTTGAATACAACTATCTTTTTTTCTGATCAACATTGAAGCTGAGCTACCCTCTCCTTGATATTAGAGATGTATATTCCCACTCTGGTAGATCGAGTCCCTAATTGAGAGTTGGGGGTTTCTTGTATAGGAGGTTAATTTATGTCAGACAGCTTGGTAGGAGATCTACTGTATCCGTGGCTTTTGTGTGATAGATTCGATGATAGGTTTTTGTCTTCTAATAGTCTTGGATTCGTGATATTGATATAAATCAGAGATTATGTGACGTTGAGATTTTATTGCTCATCTCAATTTTTTTTTTTTTCAAATTCAGAGGCTCTTCTTGAAATGTTAGCTTAGAACTGAAGTATAGACTTCTATTGAAATAGGCAATTGCTACATACTGTAATTTGCCCAAGATTTCATTTGTTGCAGTAAAATTGCTTCAATAAATTTCAAATTTAAAACAGAGATGTAATTGGAATAGTTTTGTCTTTGTGTGTTCCAGTTTAAGGAATGCACAGCACTTCCGGCCTCCAAACACATGACTGGATTATCGACCTTCAAGGTCAACTGTGTTAATTTCCATTGCCCCAAAAATGTGGCTCAAGCATAAAAATAGGCTTGCCTTTCGCTTTTTCTCGACACCAAAATAAACATTTAATCACTGGACAAATCTATGTGGGTGTGCTTCTAAGATAAAACTTGTGGATTTTTTTTTCTTTCTATTCCTCATTCTTATTTTAGGTTGTTTTAACTCTAATGACTGCAGTATTTTAAAAAGACCAAGAGCTTGATCTTTTTTTTAAGAACTCCGAAGATTATTGTCTGTGTTTTTTATAAATAAAAAGATAGGGAACAGGTCATATCTCTTTGTCTGCTATAACTTTCAGGTCAGGTAAAGGTGTGCCTCTTGCTTGATAGGAAGCCAGACTTGTAAAGCATTTTTTCCATCTTATATGTTTTCTAATTGCTAATCTTGTATAACGATAAGAACTCCTATATATATATACCTTTTGGAACGGAACTGTGCCGACACTGTGATCAACCTACGGTCAGATTGTTCTGAGGCGCGATTTTATCTGACTTGATTGTTTTTTCTGGCAATTGATACTTTTCCTAGCCAAACTGAATATCGGTGATTGTTAAAGCAGACTGGAGGTGCAGGATATTCAATGAGATTTGTGTCTCTGCCAAGTCAACTTAATCACTCTAATCAAATAAACAGGAATACAGCCAAAGAAACAAATTTGTACCTTTGATAAAGCATTTAAACAAGCAAATTCCTACATATCTGCAACATCAGCTGCTAAGTTATTCCCATTTGCTTCTTTGACATTAAATAATGGAAGGATGGTTCAAGAAAATAATTTTTCTTTCCAAGCTATGGGTCTTGTCATTTTTTAGTTAAAAATCTTTAATCTAGACTACTATGAGATCAAAATGAAGGAAGGCATTTTCATGTTCAGTCACAGGATTTGCTTCTAAATGAATGACATATAAGCCACCCCCCCCCCCCAAAAAAAAATTGTCTATGAAAATTCACATTCTATTTATGCATTTGTTGCTACTCGAAAGAAGAACTGAGGTCATTTACCAAAATTTTAATTGGGCTGTGTTAATGTTTTAACTTTGCAGCCACCAAAGTGCTTCCGGAGTTGTAGACATATTCTACTCTGTATCAAATTATAAAAGCTAGGCTTCACTGCCTTTTGAATTATCTTCATTCAGAAAACATGTAAGCTAGTTTCACGGTGCAATTTTGATTGGTGGTGTGGCTTTCAAGACTGGCTTTCTGGTTGGTCCATTGCTTTTTTTCAGATGATGATAGTGAATGGGATGAAATTTGACAAGGGGTTGCCTGCTGTTTAGTGTACCATAATTACTGGCACACGACAGGCTCTTCAAGTGCAAAAAAATGTACAACAGTAAAAAACCACAGCTGTCGCATCGCAGTGTTACAGTGCAATAAATTCCACAAGTCAGCAAAAAATGGTTTTGTGGTCTACCAAACCCTTATGTTTAGATTTAATATTTGGGGAAAAATAAATAAAACATAATAAAAAGATATACCTTGATATATAAGTGTCTGATAAGAGGCCTTTATCTAACTTCAAGCTACCTGAATTGAATGCATTTAAATTAATTTTAATTCTAAAATTTACAAATACCACCTTTCATTGTACAAGGTTATTGCTCGAGCTTGCATTTTTCAAAGTGAGGGACTTCAGATAGAAAGTTTGCAATTTTTTCATAGGCTGAATATTAACCACTCTTTTTGAGTACTGTATACAGGAAAATTTTTGCCTGTTTTATTTTTGCCCCTTTCGCCCTACTCACAGGTGGTTGAATTTTAAACGGGACGAATTCAAGGAGCACAGTATAATTTCTTAAACAGAACTGTTACTGGGCGAATTTAAAATGGGGCAAAATTGTTTGCAAGTGTGAAAGGGCAAAAATAACACAGGATGAAAATAACCCTGTATATGGTACCGGTCTTTGAAATAATTTTATGTGATTATTTTAAGTTTTTTGTATAAATGAGATTTAATTTTTGCAGGTTTTTTGAGATTGAAAGTAGTGGCCAACAAGATGAAATTCGTGTGCACTACAGACATGACCAACACCATTATGTTTTAACATTCCCATACAGACTAGCTGACAATAGGTGGCACAAACTGGCTGTGACCTTGACAGCCAATCATGTGACCATATTTGTGGACTGTTTGAAAATTTACGAACATGACATTCAAATCGTGGATCGTGTTCCACCATCGTCAAATATTCAGTTATTTGTGGGTCAGCGAAACAGGCAACATGCATTATTTAGGGTAAGTATATATTAAATATATAACCTTATAAAGAAAACATTGCTAAGATAATTATTATAAACACATTAAACATCAATTTTTTTAAATAAAGTATTTCATTTAAGTGACACAATAGGTTTAAATTAATATGATGAGAACTGCAATAAAAAATAAATGTAGCTGTCCTAATAAGGTCACCAAAACAAACAAACAAACTGTTAATGTTTTTATCAAAGCACATAGAGAATATAGAGGGAAGGGCAATAGGAAACATATGTGTAGTTGGTCAATGGTTTATGCTTTCATATTGCTGTATCTAATAATGCAATTAACTCATAAGTTATAGATATTGTTGAGCATCAGTGCAGTACTAGGAAAAGGTAGGCCTTGGAAAAAGGTCATGGAAGGGTATCCCAAATAATCTTTATTTATCTCTTGTTAAAGCTGGCTTAGAACTACAGAGAGTTACAATCGCTGGAAACAGGTTTGCTAACTATGAATGATGGTTTGAATTTTACCTCATGAGCAATTTTTTGTGGGCTTTTTTTTTTTTCAAAAAAAGAAAGATCACACCATCTTCAAATTCACATTGGTGAAAAAATGCTAGGTTTTAGATTAATTTAAAGAGAATATGGTACCTCATGACTCTTGGAATTCTTGACTGCTAAGTGTTCAAGGTTAGTGAAGTGTGAACGAAGAATGTCGGGATCACCTTAAAACGTGATGCAAATATCTGTCTGGAAAAAAAGACATAAACTTAGAAAACGCTCTCCCTCTTCATTCAGAATCGCATTTATTTGCCAAGCAGTGGCAATATTTCAAATTGTCTTTGACATAAAACAATCTATTTTTTAACCGGCATGGGTGATGCATCTTAAGACAAGCAAGATATGCAAGAGATCTTTTAAATATGTTGTTTACAGCCTTTAGTTTAAGGTTGTACCAAGAGCAGACATTGCAATTTCTAGAACCCATTAACAATTGATGGAATTAGGGAAAAAAATCTTGCTAGAGTGTTTTGTTCATAATTATTGTTTGTGAAAACTGTTTTTTCCTCTCATTTTTATATCTCATTGAAGAGAACTGTAATTTTTTTTCTATGTTCAAGAAGGATTATGAGCAAGTGTTGCATCCAAATCAAAAACATATCTGTAATCGTTAAAAAGCCCTTGCTTATTCTCAAGATAGTGATGACTTGTCAATGTACATCACATTTTTTGTTATAACAAAACTATTATAAAGTATATATTTTGTAACAGTTTCTAAGGTTGTTCTAATTATTGTGTCATTTATGATACATGTATATACAAATACTTGTATCAAAAGACCTTAGCTCTCCCACTTACCATATACTAATAATCCCTACGGCTTATATTCTAATGGGCTACTATTTATTTAACAGCAAAATCTTATTAAATCAATGATATATATTTCGAAATAAAAAAAAAGATTTCGCATGATATGCAAAAGTAATTTTTATTTTAAAAATTTAAAAGTAATTTTAGTTAAGTGCAGTAGTGCAATGGAATTTACATCGTTGACAGATTTTATAATGTCTTAAACGATGTAATTGAACTTCGGTATCCTGAGCAACAAATGTCTCAAATACCGTGGATATGTTACAGTCATTAAGAAGTTCTAACCCCCTTTCCTCTATGTATTTAATCCTCAATATCTCAAACTGTTGGACATCTTGAGGTTTTCCCTTTGTCCCATCAAGTTTGAAATAACAAGGTTTAACTGTAATATGTTATAGATTTTCTTCTGTTTTTGCAGGGGGGATTACAAGATGTACAAATAGTCACACAAGCTCATGGATATGTTTTACAATGTCCAAATCAAGAAACAGGTTTGTAAATAAAAAGTTAAAGCCTTGCCTAATTTATACTTAAAGCATTTTTATCTTAGATACAGTTGAACTACAGTATTTCGAACACTGATATCTCAAATACCATGGATATGTCAAAGTGATTTGGAAGTCCCAACCATGTATTCTTTTAAGTATTTTACCCTTGATATCTCGAATCCTCAGATATCTCAAAGTTTTTTCTTGATCCCATGGAGTTCGAGATAATGAGATTTGACTGTATTTTATTGGGATGTTTGTAAATCACCCATTGTAACAACCAAGAACTTCTTATTGGGTAATTCTTAAAAAAAAAAAAAAGTTGTGTACAATTTTAATATTTCATTTTAGATGATTAATCCATTTTATTTTATTTTTCAGATTGCCCAACATGTTCACAGTATCAAGCATTAGAAGAACAGGTTAAATTAATGTATTCCTTAAACCAAAATCTTTTATTAAAGGTAGGGTTGAGGTGAACAAATCCCCTTGCTTGCATGTCGCTGTTGTTTATTTTGACATTCATCAATGGGTTTTGTTCTGTTTTGAACCATGATGACCTCACTAGTTTTGAAGGAGAATATTACCTCCATCTTCAAAAGAGCTCAGGTCATTATAGGTCTTCTTAATACTTAATTGATCATTTGGTTTCTTATTTATTTATAGATGTGATTTCTTGCATTATGTCATATATACATTTTCACATATGATTTTATCATACTGTAAATGTATGTATTAAATTTTCATAGTACATGAAAGGTCTCTAATTCACATCAGTATGGTTTGCTGTATAAAGTAAAAAGGAAAATTGACATTTGTAACATGAAAAATCTATCTTATGTTAAAAAATACTAGTTTAAAAAAAAAAATGAAAGAAAAATCATTTACAGTGCTATTTAACAAAAAATGTATTAATTTAATGAGTTGCTTTGCTTATGGAAAGTGGTCATTTTAATGCATCTGTATATTTATGTTGCAGATTGTAGTTGCCACTGTATGGCAGGTTTTTAGTTTTTGTCTTGTGTTGTTGTCTAGTACTGGCAACTTCTTTATAATCTCATAAAGAACATTTTTTATGTCACTTCCTGACAAAGTTGTCTTGATTTTTTAGCTCCAGAGAGCAGAGAAGAGGATCAAAGAACTAGAGCAGTGTGAATGTCATAAAGGTTGTCGCTACAATGGGACGTCCAAAAAGGAGGGGGAGGTTTGGCACCCTGACCAGTGCACGCTCTGTGACTGTAAGGTAAGCTCAATGAAGGTTGTGGAAAAAAGGTGGGAGGGAACAATTTTTGTACTGTATTAAAATGTTTAAAAAAAATTCTTAGGGGCATTATTCATAGATTTTGCTCATTCACTGCACATATTAGATGCTTCATGTAGTTGCTGATAGTTTTAGTTTAAAGATCCCATTCATACGCCTCATTCCTCTCCTTTCAAACATGAACATGCCCTCTTTTCTCTTTCTACAATGGCTTATGGGTTCAAGGATGGGAATAAAGCTATTGATTTACTTTGATCTGAAAAAGTTGGGAAACGATTTCTGTATTGGACAGAGCTTGGGTTCACTGACCGATAAAAGCAATATAAACAAATGATGTTTTGGCAAATTCTGTGTGTTTAGAGATATTATGTATTTTGTTCAAAAATCACTTGTTTGACATATGTTGAATTGGGGCCAGAAAATAAAAGTGCTAGATTTTTTGCCTGCTTAGTGTAAATATTGAAAAATTTTGTTTAACATCTGGAAATAAAAAAATTGTTTGTAGTAATTTTGTGAGTATATTTAAATTCCAGGATGCATCAAGAAATAGATTTGCACCATATTACATCAGGAAAAATTGAGTCAATAAGCTTCATTTAGATTCTTCAGACAGTTCCTCTGCGTAGACTTTATTTTTACCTTTCATTGGCACCTCATCTTAATAAAAAATTACAATTTTGTTTTCGAGTCATAGTTCTTTTTAGACTTTATGAAAACTTTTGAGCCATAAATGATTATAAAATTTTTATATATAGAGAGAGGGTTGATTAGTTCTCTAAGTTTTTGCTTTCCATAGAATGTACATTATGGAGAGGGCTCATATAGGCAAAGCCTGCTACCCAATCTACTTGTGTTTTTTTTTTTACATAATGAAATACCGTATAACGGGTATTTTCTGCGGTTGTCCAATTTTTGCGGAATTTTGCGGATAGGACAAATCCGCAAAAATTACAATCGCAAAATATTTTTCAATATTTCTTCAGATATATATTTTATACACGCAATTATAATAAGTTGTGCGTATGTCACAGGATTCTCATAAACGCAAGAAGCTGCGTACTGGATGCAGCAAAATTATTTGGGATGCAAGGTTCTTAAAAACGATGCGTCCGCAGACTCATGAGTGGACACGTCCTCGTTAGCGAGAATATTCGGGTGTCATCGAAAGTCGAAGATTTTAGATGTCACTCAGGATTTGTCCAAAACATATTGAATCAAAACGGTCCTGTAAATGATATCAATTTCATAATTTTATACAAAAGATCTTTTCTTGTACCTATTTCTTTATTTTATACGGATATGCATGTAGGCCTACATGTAAATGACTAAAAGAGATTTCGCAATTATTCGCCCAAACTCCGATAGCTGCAAACAACACATATTAGCTTTTCTTTCTTTCTTTAACACTTTTTTTCAATCTTGTGTTTTATCTTGAGACCATAATTACTGCTTGTATACACAATGTGGCTTGATTGTCTCGTGAATTTCACTCAATGCAGACGACTGACAGGATTAGTTACGCCTCATTGCACATGGCACCTGTGATTGTATACGGTCAACTTTAGGTTACCTGATTATGCAACTGTTTGTTTGAGCTTAAAATATAAACACCAGGTTAATTTTGATGGCAATTAACTATAAGTGTATTTTTAGAATATGGCTTGGATGCATTAATTATCTATATATTTAAATATTTTAATAGATTGCATAAAACGTTTGTTACAATGTAGAATAAAGATTTTTATTGTTGTTTGGGTGGACTGATACTGTAATAATTCATTTCAATTGGGACTCGACATAATTGTACAAAGACTAACTAAAAGATAGTAGTTTAATTAAGTGAAATAGCTTAATACCAGTTCTCATGCACCTTTGATCAATATGCCTCAATGAATTTATAAAACGTAAACATGGCAGCTATCTGATAATTCTTAGAATTTGGTGATCATACCCAGTATATATTTTTTTGCGGTATAATGCAACCGCAGAAATTGAAAACGCAGAAATTAATTTGCTATCATTTAGGGGTTAAATCGCAAAAATTTCCAACCGCAGAAAATACCCGTTATACGGTATGTTCAAATCAAATTGCTTTCCATAGAATGCACATCACAACAATGAAGCATTATTTTGTATGCTTCTTTTGGCATTTGTATCTCGTATGTTTCTAATATGTAGATAAGTAAAGTCTTACTGTATGTTTCAGAATGGGACTGTACAGTGTAGGAAGACTGACTGCCTCCCTGCCCCCTGTGATCACCCTGTATACATAGAAGGAAAGTGCTGCCCTCTATGTATGAGTAAGTACAGGTGTCCTCAGAGTTGTCACAGCTTCACTGCCATGTTTACAGGGAGAAGTAGAGGTCACACGAGTTCATATAAAATTATATATTTCACATGATTTTGAACACTGTGCATAGGAAAAGACAGTATATGAAGAACAGGTGCTGTATGAGTTGATAGAGGTTCACATGAGTGTTATCATATGAACACAATGATGAGCTCATTCTGAGTAGGTAGAGGTGTTACTTGATTTCACATTATGTAAAGGAAGGAAGTTGCTGCCCTATCTATTTGAGTAAGTACATGTCTCGATCTGTATTAATAAGTTGAGTTGTCATCAAGTTCACTTGAGTTTGACTGTGAATACTGAATGCAAGGGGGGACATTTTTGTCATTTCAGAGTAAGAAAGTGCAAAACATACACAAACTTTGCACATTGTGAGATATTTTAATTGAATGCATTCATAATTATTGCAGCCCGGAGGACCGGGCTGCTCTATACATATAAGTTTAAGTGTTAGTATATGGGGATTGAGGTGGGAGAAGTTATTCAGAATTATCCTCCGGGCTGCTCTATACATATAAGTTTAAGTGTTAGTATATGGGGATTGAGGTGGGAGAAGTTATTCAGAATTAAAGGTTTTCTAAACATTAAAAAGATTGTTAATCAGAATGTTCTTTCCCTTTATAAATTACGAGATACACAATATATTTACTTCCATAAAGTGAATCTGTAAAAATATATATGTTTTTCATATTTAATATATAAAGTTGCTTATCATTTACTATCGAAAAAACGACAGGTCCCTTTTTTTAGAACATCGAATTTTACTTATCGCATATAAACGTAAAAACGTACTTTACACAGTTCGTGTTTTATATTCTTAAAGTGTATCGTTTTTGTTCGATTTTCATCCGACTATAAGTTTTTAAAATATTCTCGACTATCGTCTCCATCATTTAGACGCATGCCTTTTTCACACATATCGAAGCAGTTTGATGATCAAGACTCATTTCCATTGTTTACTTTATTTATTTCCCGGGCGACAATTGATGGTTACATCAATGTTTTCTTGTTTCAATTGATATGATTTATGTTCACATGAGCATATATATGACAGAGGTTCATATGAAAGCAGATAAGCATCATATTCTAATAGATGTACATTTGATATTAAGTGTACTTCATGAGCATTGTTACAATAATAATTCCATTTCAGATTAATTTTAGCCTACATTTACATGACTTTTTTTCATGTTACACTTATTTACAGAATTTTTACTTTTTTCTTTACTGTTGATAAATTCTGTTTTGATTAGCTGGGTGTACAAAGAGAACATATATACATCATAAATTGAGTGAAAAATGACAAATGAAAATTCCAAAGCTTTGATTTTTATAAGAGTAAGGATTTTATGACTATGCTGGAACTACAGAAGATTAAAAATCTTTGTTCCCTAATTTTGATGAGCAGTTTTTCAAAGACTTCTTCAAACAGAACATGTTGAAAGAATTAAGGAAAAATTAAATAAAGGAAGGCAGTTTTAGTCTCTAGGATATGAAGTGTGTCAAAATAAATTACTCTGAAGTTTCATTTTGTTATCTCCAGAATATAAACACCATTTTATTATTGTTTCTTCTTCAGTGAAGAGTGACAATTTCTGGCAGAATTTTATTCAAAGAATGAGGAAAATACTGATAAAAATAAGGAATTTATATAAAGGCTGTGGAAAAATATTTTAATGCAGTGCTCATGCACAGTTCCCTATGATATAAGTGTAATTAATGAAAGAATATGAGCAGTAAGCACGCTTCAAATTTAGGATGATTTTGCAATGAATGCATGGCTGTACAGCAAAATATTTTTCCCCAGTCAGATTATTACATAATGTTACAAACTTTTGAGAAAAAAATAATATAATTTATCATAAATATATTTTATGCCACTCGTAAAGTTTACGACTTTTCTTGCACATCCTTATCGAGTTTTTGACATCTGCTTGTGGAACCGCCACACTAAAATTTGAGTGTTTTCACATAGATTTTAACCCTCACAATAGGTATTCATCATTATTTCCCCCTGTTACCACCCACAGTTGTGTAATATATAAGAAAATGATGGGCATTCGGAGGAATCATATATTTTCAGTTTACAACAGTTTTAGCTGTCAGTAAAATTACATTTTATGTCGATGTTATGTAGGAAAGGTCGTAATGTATAATTCCAGTATCTTTTGTTCTTTCTGGGGAGCACTTGTAAAAAACGTAGTAAAATGAGTGAAAAGGCAGGAAATGATGTTGAATTGTTGGTGAAGAGTAATGGAGATTGTACAGTAGTGATGGCCATAAAGTCATGTTTTTTTTATGAATAATTTATTTTTTGAGAGAATAGCTGTTATTTTCTGTCAGAGATTAAGATATATAGCTGAGAAGAATAAAATATCATCAAGTAAGATATTTCCAAGTTATTGGTTTGGTGCTTTGCTCAGCAATTGATTTTATATGAATAATTGATTTTATACTTAAAAAATACAAAAACACACACATAGACATAAAAGAGAATTGGGAATACAAAGAATTTTTCTTATTTTTTTAAATTTTGATTATTTCTTGTTTTTCTGCTGTCTGACAGAATATTATGCATTCATACAATCAAATTATTGTGAACTACCTGATCTGAAAACAACTATTATTTCTATAGATCTTAAAATAATTAAGATTAGTACATACGTACTTAAATTGTAGGCAGACAAACAAATGGACAAAATACGGTAGTGCTAGTACAAAAAAGCCTTGAATATTCTTTGCAAACTTTAATTGTCTCAGTTTAAATGTTATATACTTAGACCAACCAACCCTCCCTACACATAAAATCCTTTTACCACAATTTTTTCTATTGCCAAATCTTTTATTAAAAAAATTCCTTCATCAGATCTAACTCTACAAGGTGGTACATATAATAGTAAAGTGTATAATCAAGACTAGCAGTAAGGTATTGCTACACTGTGTTGGTTTAGAAGGCGGGAGAGCTGCAGCTGTGATTGGGCTGACGTCACTAGACTGTTATCTATTGTGTTCCATTCATAGCCCTACACGAGGCACCTGTACAGACGCATCGCGCTGCCAAGTCTGTCAATGTGCAACAAATATAACATCACATTTAGCAGTACATTTGCAGAAAATACAGAAAATTCGAAATATTAATAAAAGGTTTCAAATAGGTCAATAAAGAGTCTAGACACATTAGCCTTGTTTCTTCATACATTTAGCTCTTTTAAGACTTGATTATGGTTATTGGTCGAAAGTGAAGCAAATTACAGACTGATATATATCACTACTTTTTGTCAGAAATGAATGTAATTGGTACAATTTGAATTGATGTATTTTCTTTTTTACAGCCAACTGTTACTTCGATGGAAAGTATTACCATCATGGAGAGAGTGTCAGTCCAAAATTGTGTGTCACCTGCACATGTAATGTAAGTCTATGTCACTTGTACATGTAAGTCTGTGTCACTCATACATGTAATGTAAGTCTGTGTCACCCGTACATGTAATGTAGGTATATGTCATCTGCACATGTAATTTAAGCCTGTGTCACTTGTACATGTATTGTAAGTCTGTGTCACTTGTAATGAAAATATGTGTCAACTGTACATGTAATAAAAGTGTGTGTCACCTGCACATGTAATGTATGTCTGTGTCACCTGTAAATGTATTGTAATTCTGTGTCACCTTTACATGTAATGTAAGTCTGTGTCACTTGTACATGTAATGCAAGTCTGTCTTACTTGTACATGTAATGCAAGTCTGTGTCACTTGTACATGTAAACCTATCACCATTGCATGTAAGTCTGCCTCACTTTTACATGAAATGTAAATCAATGTCACTTGTACATGTAATGCAAGTCTGCATCACCTGTACATGTAACTGCATCACCTATACATGTTTTGTAAGTCTGTGTCACCTATGAACATTTAACTATGTGTCACCTATACATGTACTGTAAGTCTGTGTCACCTATACTTGTACTGTAAGTCTGTGTCACCTATACATGTACTGTAAGTCTGTGTCACCTATACTTGTACTGTAAGTCTGTGTCACTTATACATGTACTGTAAGTCTGTGTCACCTTTACTTGTACTGTAAGTCTGTGTCACCTTTACTTGTACTGTAAGTCTGTGTCACCTTTACATGTACTGTAAGTCTGTGTCACTTATACTTGTACTGTAAGTCTGTGTCACCTTTACTTGTACTGTAAGTCTGTGTCACTTATACTTGTACTGTAAGTCTGTGTCACCTTTACTTGTACTGTAAGTCTTGTCACCTATACATGTACTGTAAGTCTGTGTCACCTATACTTGTACTGTAAGTCTGTGTCACTTATACTTGTACTGTAAGTCTGTGTCACCTTTACTTGTACTGTAAGTCTTGTCACCTATACATGTACTGTAAGTCTGTGTCCCCTATACTTGTACTGTATGTCTGTGTCACTTATACTTGTACTGTAAGTCTGTGTCACCTTTACTTGTACTGTAAGTCTTGTCACCTATACATGTACTGTAAGTCTGTGTCACCTATACTTGTACTGTAAGTCTGTGTCACTTATACTTGTACTGTAAGTCTGTGTCACCTATACATGTACTGTAAGTCTGTGTCACCTTTACTTGTACTGTAAGTCTGTGTCACCTATACATGTACTATAAGTCTGTGTCACCTACACATGTACTGTAAGTCTGTGCCACCTATACAAGTACTTGAAGTCTTTGTCACCAATACATTACTGTAAGTCTGTGTCAACTATACATGTACACCTATACATGTACTGTAAGTCTGTGTCACCTATACATGTACTGTAAGTCTGTGTCACCTTTACTTGTACTGTAAGTCTTGTCACCTATACATGTACTGTAAGTCTGTGTCACCTTTACTTGTACTGTAAGTCTTGTCACCTATACATGTACTGTAAGTCTGTGTCACCTATACATGTACTGTAAGTCTGTGTCACCTTTACTTGTACTGTAAGTCTGTGTCACCTTTACTTGTACTGTAAGTCTGTGTCACCTTTACTTGTACTGTAAGTCTGTGTCACCTATACATGTACTATAAGTCTGTGTCACCTACACATGTACTGTAAGTCTGTGTCACCTACACATGTACTGTAAGTCTGTGTCACCTTTACTTGTACTGTAAGTCTGTGTCACCTATGTACATGTAACTATGTGTCACTTATACTTGTACTGTAAGTCTGTGTCACCTTTACATGTACTGTAAGTCTGCAATTGCAACACTTATCCATCACCTATCCATGTAATGTAACTCTGTGTCACTTGTACTTGTTATGTAAGTCTGTATCACCTTTGCATACACCATAAGTTTGTGTCACTTGTACATGTATTGCAATTCTGTCTCACTTGTACATGTAAATTTTGTTACTTGTACATGTGATATAAGTTTTTGTTACCTCTACATGTTAGTTTTTGTAACATATACACTTAATGTAAGTTTTTGTTCTATATATATCTAGTGGATATATATGTCACTATTCATGTAATGCAAGTTTTTTCCACCTTTACATATACAGTGTAATGTAAAATTATCCCAACTGACCAAAAACAGGTTAGATCCTATGTCTTAGTAAACTTTCAATAAAAAAAAATATTTGGGCACTCTCAGGATTATGAATTAAGGGGCAAGACTTTGTTGTATATTACTAAATGGTAACTATCCAGATATTCTGTTATTACAGTATTTGAGATATGTTTGATTGTATTTACGTAAATACTGTAATAAAAATAAAAATTCAAAGGAAACAATCTAATCAGAATACATTTCCTGTGCTTTCTGATATTTTTTTTATGTGATTTTGAAGATTTGAAAAATTAATTCTCATCTTTTGATCTCCAGTTCCATTATGACGTAATTATTAATTAAGAAAATTTTGAAATATAAGAAGAAACGTGGAAATATTTTATCCAGAAAAAGGAAACCTGTTTCCTGCAAACAAACAGCTGTTCTGGACACCTTTTGTGAAAGATGTTGAAGTTGTTTGATAATTTTCATCTCTAGTATATCTACTTTTCTAATTAGAAAATGGTCTGTGAAGTGATATTAAAAGGGGGAATTACTTTTTACATATACTTAAGTGATAATACAGAGGCCAGGTGTTGCGTATGAAAATAAACACATCTTTGCTTTTCACTCTTATGTAAGTAAAAAGAATATGAAAGTGAAGTTAGCTTTGTGTGGTGAAAACAACAAGTTAAAACATAAATTATGATATTTAAGGAATTTTCTTCCTGTATCTTCAAACCTAAATCATTGATATTGTAAGAGTGCCTTGTATCTCAATGTATATAGATATACAGATTACAGCTCTTCAATCAAAGTTGGATTTCCTCTTTTCCAAAGTGAAATAAAAAGAAATTCCTCGATTCTAAATTTTCTAACAATGAGAAGAACCTAGTGATATGTGCTTTGTTCATACAAAGAGCTACTTTTGGATTCAAAAGACCATGTGCCACAGTGACATACACATTTGTGGAAGGAATGCTTTTATATGTGTACTTTGAGTGAAGAATTATGTAATACAAGTCAAAACCTCCTTAAAGAGGGTTAAGTGCTTGTTATTTTGGTCTTTGTTTTGTCTTTTAGATGTCTATTTTTTAAAAAATTTTGAATTATGATAACTGGTTTCAATCAACATATATCTTATAAAAATCACAATCAGAAAAATTTTGGTCTATATTAATTAATCCATGATGAACCTTCATGCATTATCAGATCAGTACGCCCTTTACTCTTCATTGTAATATCAGAGAGGCAAAACAAGCCAGCTATTTTACCCAATATATTACATATTTTGCAAACTTTAATTTTCTGTCCACAAGGTGTACATTAATTTGTGTACATTTTAATCATTTTTTTTTATTCATATGAGTCCTTTACTTTCCTTTATAGCTGCTTCCTTGACTCTTGTGTGTGTGGAGATAATAAAGACATATGTAAGCTTTAATGTATTATTTTTTTTTTCCTGGTACTTTAGGATGGCAATATGGAGTGCGAGAAGATGGACCTAGAGGTTAGCTGTCCCAATCTGAATTGTCCTGAAGAGAAAAGACTGCACATCGAGGGGGAGTGCTGCCCAGTTTGTAAGGGTAAGTCCAAGTGGTGGGGATATAAATAATCATTCAGAGGCTGCAAGGCTGGATAGGGAAAAGGAAGTCTTTTTCTCTCCAAACTATAAAAAAGTTTTTGGGGGAATCTGTTGCTAAGATATGCCTTGACAGTTTTGAAGAACATAATGACATTTTCAGATGCTGAGTCTTTGCTATGATATCATCAAGTCCTTTATTGGAAGACTATGAAGACTATAAATATAATCTTGGGATTTCTCAGGCAGTCATTTACTGGAAATTCACAATTTTGGCATTAGTCACAACTGTTATTTATTCATTTTCTCTTGCAAAATTTGCAATCTCTGACAGATTTAATAAACATAGACCATTCTTTGACATAGTCATTTTACCAAAAAATCTACCCTTCTTTCTTCAGAAGCTCATAGCTTTTTATAGTTAGTCATCAAATTTTGATTCAATTTTCTCACTATTATGCATGCAGAGTGGCTGCATCTGCAGTTCTTGTTCAGGTTTTGAGACATTTGGTTATGTCATAGTCTAGACTATCAGTCTCTTTTGGAATCCCCATTATTCTATTCAGTCCCTTATGCTGAAAATGACTCACTGTACGAATTGCAGGAATTTGATTTGACACTTTGCAGGGCAATATTGCCACATTTAATAGATCCTTTGGTGGTTTGCTTGAGTTTATTATTGTCCATCAGAATTTAGACAAACTTGCTTTGCAAAAGAGATTTATTGACACGGAGAAGATCCGAGCTGTCTAAAAGGTTGGGAGATTATCAGATAGTTGGGGTGTTAATGCATTTCCTTTGAAGATTTTTCTCAGGAGCATGTGAACTTTTTTGCTCCATGGATGAAAAAGTCAGTCAGAGTTCATCAAATTCTAATAACTATTGGAGATGGGTAATCTGTATTAGATTTACAGCTTTTCAGTCAATTGAATTTGTTGGTGATAAATTCTGACATTGAATGAAAACCAAGAATGATCTTCAGAGAGCCTTGGGTTTGTTAGTATTAGTGTAGCATATAGTTCACACAGAATGATCCAGCACCTTGATATGAAGTTTTTAGTAATAAAGTTACAGCAAAATTTAAACCACATAGCCATATTATTATTATTATTTGTTAATTAATTAATTTCATTTAGAAATGAGCATAAAAAAGGTTCAGTTTTAATCAAAACAAATGTAAATTAATCATCAGTGTTGCCCTTTGTAAATTTACTTCTGGTAGCAATCTATAATTATTACTGCAATTTAAATTTAGGGATTAACATCTTTCTCACAATATTAAGACTATAAAAAAGCTTTATTCTCAAAAGTTATTCCTATTTTGTGCTTTCTCTGATCTTCCCCCAAGTGAACATTTTACATGATTATATGATGGAATCTCCATCTGCTAGCATCACTTAACAGCTCAGTTCCTCATGGGACTAATAAACTGATGTAAGACTGTCTGTCCAAACCAAAAGGAAGAGAAATGTGTCATGTTGCCCAGGCTTTTAAGTGAAGGCAGACAATGTCAAGGAAACATGACTCATATCTGGTTATAAGAAGTCTGTATAAATGGGGATCAATACTTTTGGGGAATATTAGGGGGTCGTTAGGTATATAATTTATTGGGAGACCAATTGACCATTATATAGTAGCTAGAACATGCATTTTACAAACAAAACAAATCATTTTTCAATATTTTTCTTTGAAAGTACATTTAGACTTCAAAGAAAGGTTTTTAAGATGGTTTGCACTAGATTACTTGCAGAGAAATCAAATTATGCTCACCAGTGCACTGATAATATGTGTAATCTCGAGCAAGAGAAACATTTTCTATACATTTGTAGTGCAAATTATTTGTGTATCCATTAGTACATTGTTGGTAAATCATATTTATATGCAGATAATAAACATTTTTACATGAATTAATGTGTGTATTATATTTGATTTGTGTTTGGTTCTATTCCAATAGGTACAGATTTCTGTGGCCTTGGCAACAATTGCCACTCAAATGCATCCTGCATTAACTTGTCAACCAGGTTTGCCTGTCAGTGTTTACCGGGATACCGTGGTGATGGTGTCCATTGTGAAGGTAAATTATTCAAAACCCAACATCTTTAGCAATTTTATTGAAATTATTTTTAAGACAAGTGTTCCGTTTACAAATAGTGTAACCTGAAAATATGCATTTTAACAATTACTTTATAAAAAATACTTAGGAATTGGTGAAAATATAATACAGTGAAAACTTTTTAATCCAACATCTGTGCAATCCGTTTTACTGTGAATTCTGACCTATATTGTCATTCCAATTTTTCTATTTTCTGTATTCTTTACACTGTGTAATCCAACAGCCTATTTATTCCGACACAAAATTTGTCTCCCAGTGCATGTCAGATTAGACAGGGTTCAATGTACATGTATGATAAAGGTAAAAGAAACAAGAGGTATTGCAGTCTCTACATAAACCCTTATTATTATGATCAAATTCTGAACTTTGTTTTAAGGTTCAGAAACTTTTAACGTGAATCCGACTCGAGATCATAATTAAGAAATTGAAAGCTGTAACTTTTTATGATGTATATGCACTCTACCATGTAAAATATGTTACACACCACTTCATATCAATCAGAGCCTGAACTTTCACTGTGTATGATATTAAATAACAATATTCGGTGCAGACAGCCAGTAGGAAATTTAGACTGTCTGCCAGTAAGATATTGGGTTTTTATTAAATTACAACAATAAATTTCCTTCACTAAGTTTTTCACACTTTTGTAGCAGTCTCACCTCCCATAATGCATGCCAAATGGTTAAAATGTAGGTCAGTATGATTCTAAGAATATTGAAGATTGCCAAAATTACTGGATTTCCTCTGTCTTTGATATATATCCAAGATGTAGGATTTTAAGATTGGTTTTTAACCACACTGAGTATAACCTTGTTAAAAAAAATAAAGATATATCTAGAATCAAAATTGTTGATGAAATGTTCTGATTGACTTCCAATTCCCCCTTTTTGTTGCTATCCCAAGACCTTTTAATATAACGATAGGAGCTGATATATTTATATGGCCAGTGCAACTCTTCTGTTTGAAGGTCACATGTAGAAAAAGGGATGAACTGATTGAGGATGGGTGTACAACAAAGAAATAAAGAATTAATAACTGTGTGATCAAGTTTTGCAATTTTTTTTTTCGACTGAATGTCTACTGAATGGGCATTGAAGTTTCTGAAGGCAGTGGTTCCCACTGCAAACCATTCACCTCTGGTTGGATAAGCAATCAAATTTATTACATTACCACAGATAACTATCTGTTTCTCACCATGGTTTTACTGTCAATGAGAATATTCCCAAACCACAAGAAGAATGAGACTAGCCCCATTGAGTTTTAATAGGGAAATTATCGCTACTAATTTCAGTCCCACTGGTAGCAGTTATTTCAAGGAGAAAAGGATATAGGAGTATCACCAGTCTGAATGGTGGCTTAAAAGATAAACTGATTTAATACAGTTTTGAGATGAAAGTGGTTCATATATTATCCGAGCAAAAAAATGATGTGTAGAGTTATAATTCCAAAGGTTTTAGATAAAAATGTGCTAATGCTCATTCTTTTTGTGTATTAACGCAGGTACAGTGCTGAGTTTTTGGGAATATTAAGATAATATTTGAAATTGTACATGTGCTAGCTGAGACATTTTAATTTAAGCCAGTTACTTTCTGGGTGACCTTGTGAAACAACCTTCAAAAAAAGTAATTTATTGCAGATGTATGGGAATTAAGTAAATAAAGATATTTTGAAAAGAATTAAGAAATATTTCCAAAGGTTTTAATAAAATTTCTAATAATATGCATGTTTAAATATTGAACCCCCCTTTTTTCTAAAAAAAAAAAAAAAAAAGAAATACGAGTTGAGAGAGTGACATAATCTGATTTAAAACTAACATCGCCAAGTTACACAATATTTCAGGTTCACTTGCCTATTAAATTTGGTTGCAATTGACTCAAACATTCACCAAAGGTATTTTCGCATTTCAGATGTTGATGAATGCCTAACAAAAGGAGGAAAATATGGTCACCATTGTAATGGTCAAACCATTTGTGAAAACACAGTGGGGTCATACTTATGCAAGTGTCCCTCTGGTCATATTCCAGAGGATCCTTATAACTGTACAAGTTCAGGCTACGATTTTTCTAATTCAGCCCCAGGAAGGGAAAGTGATGGAACTTTGCTAATGACATTCTGTTCCCTAATCCTGGTGATTTTGTGGGTTTCTGGTGTCAGATAATGGTGCAATCTGCCATTAGATTAAAACGTTGTTATGACCATGATTCTGAGTATGAGCAGCCATCTTTCTTGGTTGGTTGCGCAGAGTGTTCATGTGAATACGAAATGTTCCATCAAGAAAAATTCCATTTTTTAAGCCTATAAAACAGTTGATTTTGATTTAATTAAATGCAGAAGTGAAAGCCTTTTGTTACTTTGTGATTTTTCTTGCTTGATAGCTAGAAAATGTGGCTGATAAAGCATCAATGTATTTTGTAATATTCAATCATAATTTTACCGATAAAAATGAGTAGAAATTAACATAATTATATATTCAGAAACATGTAGATATAAAATTATGTAAAAACTTCATGCATATTCCATAATCAAGAAATAAATATTGTGACTGTTACTTGCACTGTTGTTTATTAAGAATTAATTTGTCACTGATGATTAATTGATACATTACGTATTATTATGTATAATATGGTATGGCTGTATGATGTTCATAGTTCATTTGTTGGAGAAATGGAATTATTTTTTATTACTACATTTGTGATATAAATGTTTGAATGTTATGAGGTTAGATTGATTGGCATTCTTATTAATTGTTGTGATTTGTTAATTATTGTAAGATCTATTTTCATTAAGATGAAATGAGTGATGCAGAAGCATTAATTTTTCTGCTGCTGTAAAACTGCTGAAAATTGTCAGAGTCTGGTAACATATTGCAATATGCATATACACAAAAAAAGTAAGAGACTCTTTGTCTGTCTCAAGATAAAGCTACAGTCAAATAAGGAAATAGCTTTACATCTCCATAAAGCTATTTGTTCATCATGTGACATGACAGCTAGAACAGCCTCCTTGCTGTATGTGGCCTAGTAATACACTGGGTGTGGCTTGCAGACTTGAATTTCTAATTATATTGAGAAAAATAATGTAAATATCTCCTTTTTTTATTGAGCAAAAAATGTAAATTTAGGGAGTGATGATAAAACAGTTTAGTGCTCATGTAATAATTTTATGCATAAACACCTACAGTGTTTATGCAAATTATCACATGTGCAAACTGTTTGATCACATCATAAAACCAAAAAACTAGATGGTCAACCAGAAACACCTTGCCCTATCCTAATTACAGTTGAATGTCAGTATATCGAACATTAGTTGAAAACTCAAATACCATGGATATGTCGAAGTGAGATGGAAGTCTCAATTATTTTTTCTCGGAGTATTTTAACCGATGTATCTGGAATCCTTGGATATGTCCTCTTTTTTTATTCCATTAAGTTCAAGATAATGAGGATTGATTGTACTTACATCCAATTGATATGTTGATATATAGTATCTCTTGCTGACAAAATCTGGATTTTTTTTTATAATTAGTCATGTTCCAATTTAAATTTGTTTCCAAAAAAGGTAAATTGAACTGTATTTTAGAAAGATGTCTTTTTACCATTACCAATTGTAATCTTCATATACTTGTTTTCAGACAAGGGTATTTTTAATGCATTTGCATAGTAATGTATGATTTTTTACCCTTTCTCATCCAAACATTGACTTGCATCATTAATTCTTAATTAAAATTATGACAGTTAAAATTTTATAAACGAGAGAGACATCCCAAATACTCTAGGCTTCCATACATGCATGTGTTACCAGACTCTGCTGTTTTAATTAAACTATATCATATATAGTATTTGCAGACAGGTGTATCTTGTAAAGATGTGTGAGAGAAAGTTTCCTGAATTTTTATTAAGATATTAAATTTGTTGTTAAATTGCCTTGTTAAAAATGCTTTGTATATGAAAATGTGATATTTGTATTAGCAATCTAGATGTACATGTGTGAGTTCAAATGCTTGATTAGACACAACAAATGAAGAAAATTGCCATACATATTACAGTTATAAAACTGAGAAGTAAAATGGCCATGTTTAAGGTTATTTTCATTTTTTGTAGAAACAAATGGTCAAAAATGATAATAAAATACTGTTTCAGCACTTTTCATAATCATTGACAGAAATTGGTCCCTAAGATATTTAATATTTGTTGTGTCTGAGATTAATTTAATTAAGCAACATTGTTTGATCAAGTTTTTGAACTTGAGGGAAAAAGTTGTATATATTTTATCCATTGAGTAAATGATTTATTAGATCAATTTTTCTACCTCTGAAATTATCTGTAGGATTTATTTCAAATTTATTAAATTCCCATTTCCTACAATTCCTATTTTTGTTTTCTTTTTGGGAGTGGTGTCTTCTATTTTAGGAAGACTTGCATAATAAAGGGTAATGATGCCAGCCTACAGCAATATTAATTATATCATTTATTTATTTATTTTTTAAATAGATGTCCAATATTTGTGCCATTACACTTGAAAACAATCAGAATCTTCAGAATTTCACTTGAACAAACATTATTGTTAAGTCTTTTTTATGAAATTTAGGTGAGACCTTGAAAAATGTTCTAGGCTGACATTTGAAAGTCATGTTTTAGAAGTTAAGAGCCATCAGAAATCGCAAAGAGTTCCAAAACCCCAGAAATGGGTAAAATCATACAGAAAAGATGGATGAAAGTTTGCACACAAGTAAAGCTAATTGACACCATTTATTTGAATATTGCAAAAAAGTTTGTGTAAGCAGGATTATCAATGTGGTTTGGCATTCTCTGCAAGGAGAATGTGAAGTTATTGGTGAAGTTTAAGGGCTGAAACAGGTGCTAATCATTCTAACAAGTGGGGGACCCAAGTTATTGCAAGTGGAGCTTTTAACTTGATTTTTCATAGACATTTTGTGGTTGAAAGAAAAATGTTGGGAAGAGGGGTACCGTGAATAAAGAAATTCTAATGGAGAAAGAGAAAAAAAAGTGTTGAATTGAACTTTCAATGGGTAGATTTTAGGAAAGCATTACATTTAATTTTTTTAAACAGTCGATAATTTAAAAATGAAAACTATAATATCAATTACTTTCTCTCAATGTATCATTGTTCCGATTTTCTCTTTCAATTTGAAAATTAAAATGTAAAATGAAATTGAGCTTCATACAGAGAAATTACTTGGATCATTGTTTTCTTCCAATATTTAGGGGGATTCCTAACTTTGGGGAACAAAGCTTTAAGAAAAGATTCATATTTTTCAGATAAAGTTTCCATGCTGAAACTTGACTTGCCTCTGAGGTTCTTTTCTTTATTTCTCATTATTTTGTGTGTGAGAGTGTGTAAGAAATGCCAAGAAAAGACTAAAAAAATTATTCAGTTCTGGAGTGCATAAAAATTGATTAAAAAACATGAATTGATAAATTGTATTTGAAAACTAACATCAGTAAACTCAAGTTAACAAAATGCCACTGTATGCTATGAATCTTGAAAAGTTCCTGCATTTGTTTTTGTGCAGTTTTTTAAGTGTTTGCATATTTCTCTGCAACTTCTATTGTGAACAAGTACGTAAGAACTTGATTTTATGTACACAACAAAAGCTGCTCAAAGTGTGTAAACATTCATCGCTTTCACAGAATAGTTGTTTCTTATAATCTTCTGTAATGTTTCATCAGAATCCAATTTCCATGTGTCCTTAAATGGTGTCTATAATTGTCAGTATGTCAGAATCTCTTGACTCGGCCTGTAATTAATTGTATGGTAAATATATATGGAACACAGGGTATTGTATAATATAAACATTTATCTTCTCTCACAAAAAAGAAACCTAGACTCATAAAACATGAAATCAATGTCTGATTAGCGTACATCTTTTAAATGTTTTACGTCAGGGGGTGTGTCGGATCGTTTAGTTGGAGGAAATCGAGTAATATGCTGGTGCTTTTCTTTCATTGATGAGATTTTGCAATTATTTGCTAATGCACTCTGCAAGTGAATGAGATCTTGATTTGTGCATGTTTGATTCCATTGAGAAGTGGTTGCATTCTTATCCTGTTGCACATACTATAGATAATTGGAAACTTCTTTCATTAAATGCATAAAATTAAGTGAATGATTTTTCAAAGGAATGTTTATAAGATCCGGTCTTTCCCCTGACTTCTTGTAATAATCTAAAATTGTTCAAATGTATCAAGTATTGGCTTAGGAATATTAGAGTTACGCTGCAATTTAAGATTTGTTGGTTTTTATATAAATATTTGTAGAAAGTAAAAAAAAGTTGATTTTTTGAAGAAAAACAAAAAGAAAAGAAATGTATATTTGAATTTCAAAAAATGTTTCAACAGCCAACAATGTTGAACCCTACCACCACCATTTTGTATATGTCTGTTGTCTACAGTGACATAAGCGGATTTCCTTTCTGCCAAGATCTCCCAAGTTGCAATAGAGGGGATTTTGCCGAGTGCCACAGTGACAACACTAATTGATGTTCACTGTATTCCCTTCTTTAATGCCTAGCTCTCAATATCAGAGTTAAAGTGAACATCCTCAAAGATTGATTGCTTTTTGGAAAGATAATTGTAGTGTTTGTAGTTTCCATCATGCAGAATAGTGATGGAGTTCTTCCATTGGATCCTTGAAATTGGATATAGGAGGTCAACTAGTGCACTGTATTGACCAACACAAAGTACATTGATATTGTATTATTTGAAAATGATGCAGATCTTGTAAGCAGGTAGCTCTTGTAACTTAGATCATAAGGACTTTGCTGGAAATCAATACAGATAATAAATTGGCTAGATATCTCTTAAAATTCAGCTAATTGCAGGGATTATTTAAGCATAAACCTTGCAGTTAACAGGGGCAGTCATCTAGGATTTGAATATAGAGGGGGCACCAACTGATTAGAAAGGGAGTTAGGGGCTGCCTTGAGGCCCCCAGTTGGCCCAGGGCTAAGCTGTAGTTGGGACCCATGGGGCAAAGCTCCTGGATTCTAGAGATTTTGTAGTGAAAAATTGTTGTTTTCTAAGTGGACAGTTTTACTATTTATCATCATTTTTACTGATGAGAATAAAACTTAAAATATTTTAAGGTCTGTGGAATCAAAGCAATTAGTAGTCAAGCCCTGAGATGTTCCTGTTGTGCAAGAATGTAGAAATAGAACCCTTTGTATAATGAATCATTTCTGTTCAAAGAAGAAACTATGTTTTAGCTTGATTTCAGCAATTTTAGGGGGCACATGACGGGTGTGCCCATCATGCACCCCCTAAAATTGGTCCACCACTGGTAAAAAGGATAGACCACTAGCAGTTAAAGAAGTGACAGTCCTCTAGCATGTAGACTAGGGATCAATCCTTAGCAGTTAGCATAGGGACCG